CCGGCCAGCCGCGAGGCTGCGCTCGAAGCCACACGTGAGGCTAACAAAGAAGCATGGTTGCTCCTTCACAATCGCATTTTGTTTGCATTGGCCATGCGCAATGAAGGTGAGAATCAGGCTGCTCAGGACCTCGTGGATGGATTGATGACCGAATGGACGCCGGCCTCGGCCCTGAGGTTCTACGGTCGAGAGGATCCGCTTGCAGAATACCTTAGCTTCTGCTTTTTGCCAAAGGAGTCCCACATCGAAAAGATCATGTTGCCAGAGATGCCTGTCAATGAAGTAATCTGGATCTTAGTCTCTGACTCGTCATGTGCATTGATCACAGGGCGTCGGAAAACACTTAAGAAGTTGACTTGTCCGAGCATTACCGGCAGCGCAAGCCTAAGTATGTGACTGAGTTCATCCATGAGATGCTTTGGGGCAAAACTCTGCAGAAGCTGGTCAAGCGTGGGATTGAATTCCCCGCGGACGCCCGCGAGCGCTATCCTGATGCCCGCATCAACCTGCATTTGTCCTGGTTCGGAAATGAATTGGTAGGAGAGGATGGGATTGCCCAAAATCCAAATTGGCCGTACGACGGCCCCAACGGGCACTGGCCCACGATCTTGGATGATTGTGAGCGCCACTTGACATGGTTTGTCAACAAGGCCCGGGAGTTGGATTTGCAGTCGGCCGGTCTCACGACCGCGCCTTGGTCCGCTGACTATGGCATCCATCCTATCTTTGACCAGTTCTTTGATGTATTGGAGCCCAGATTTAAAGCTCTCACCAGCAGCCTGCAAGGGCTTGCCAATCCGAAGTATCCGTGGCTGAAAGCAAAGGGGTACGCCGATGCAATGGAATTCAGAGACCAGTGGCATTTCGCCAACTCTGAAGAAAATCGCACGCGTCTTGCTGCCTATTGGACAGCTACCCTTTTCGCAATTGATTGCGGATGGCGGGTTGGCCGAATTGGTTTGGAGCTTACTCAGTGTGGCCAGGAGACATGGGATGATTTGCGGAGGAACATGAGCGCCGTCCTGGACGAGCTGCCAAGATCCTATCAGGAGACATGTGCAAACATCACCAAGTTGCTTTTTGGAGAGTCCCGAAGACACATCACGCCGACGGGCAGGTCATTCACCAAGGAGGACGTCGAAGCTCAACAACCTGACACTGAGGACTACATCGACACCAAGACGATGCCTTCGGGCACTTTTGCTGAGCCTCCCAAAGATGACCCTCCAAAGGCCGCCGGCGACGGCGAGCCCGCTGCATCCAGCAGAGCAACAATCCTGGTCCAAACGGCTGAGGTCATGTTGAAGTCGCGGCCGAAAGCAGCACCAGCCCCAGTGGATGAGCCCGCAGATGACAAGAGAGCCACATCCAGCCAGTACCAGCCGCAGGCAACTGCGCGCTTAGAGGAACATGCATCCGGCCACGTGAAAGCATATTGGATGGAAGAGCATTTGCCTGAATACCAATATACAATGGTGACCAATGCAGACGGGGATGATGTGCCCGGTATCCTCTTTGAAGGTACGGCTTATGAGCTGCATGGAGCTGATATCGGCATCCGACGTTGAGACCATTGCTGGCCAGACTCGTGTCGACAAGAAATTTTCTGACTGTGCGACTCGTGTCAACAAAGTTTGCAGGGGGCATGGATCCTGTGCCAAGGTGCCAATGGACAAAGACCTTTGGATTGACTTGGAGGATTTTGCCAAAGCCTTCCGCAAGGAAGTGCCCCCAGATGTTTTCATCACTGTCGCAAACCTGTTTGGCACCGCAATGAAGATCGACAAGCATGGCAAGAGTAGGTTCCAATTCTTGTGTGCAAAGATCTCCCATTTTCCTGTCGACAATGGCCTAGGCATGCCGTATTATCCTGTGAAAATCCGTGCAATTCAGGGTCATTCCGAAGCTGCCTTGAAAACCGCAGGGGGTCTTTATATGCCAATTCAACCATGGTGTATTGCTCAAACCAAGTATCCCCCGAGCGAAAAGCCGCCTTCACTGGCGTGCCCTTGTGTGCCATGACTGAGGTCCCTGAGGTTGTCTTCCATCGCACGATGAGAAGCAGCTGGAAGAGCATCGCACAGAACGGCCTGATCCCAGGCGGCGGTGACACAGTCAACAGTGGCCGTGCTCATATCTACATGGCAGAACACTGTATCGGCACACAGGGATATCGATCTGGATTAAGAGCAAAATGTCCAGTCGAAGTCAAAATCGCAATGCGGCAAGCAGTAGAAGCTGGTGTCATCTTTAGTCGCACAGAAATGGATGGTATTTTGTGTTCAGAACGCATCCCACCGCAGTTTCTGGTCAGCATCTCAGAAGAAGGACAGGTGCTTTGGTCCCGCGCCGAGAGCAATCTCGAGCCCAGCTCATGGACAGGCGCGGAATCAGCCTCAGCACCGAAATCCAAAGCGGTCACCCTGACTGCCCGAGATGATGCAAATGACGACCCAATGGATGACACCAGCACGGGGCGACCCGATGCCAAGTCCACTGATGATGATGCAGCCACTGCCCCAATGCAAGTTGACCAGCCGCCCGCAAGGACGCGCCGTGTTTACATTGCACCCAAGTACTGCGAACCTTTCATGGGCTCCTGCCCCCTCTGCCAGGTCGAGTACGTCAGTGGCCAAGTGACATGCACCACATGTGGATATGAGCCACTCGCAGTGGACGAAAGTGGCGATACAAAAGAGGCCGACAAACCCAACAGGAGGACCCGCATCCTTGAACGGCGAATGCAGAGTCTCGCCGGGTTCGGAATGTTTGGGAAAATGAGCGGTAGCTTGCTCACGGCTTTGACAGATGAGCAAGCCAATCTGCTTCGCCGGGAACTGGGCCCCAGGGGAATCACATCCGTGGAATCAGCAGTCCTCAAAGACTGCCGCGACAGGCATCGACGTGCAAAAGCGCTGGGCTACGAGGACGTGGAAGACAGATACGCCAGCGACGTCACCTTTTGCGACCGCATCCACGGTGAGGGGAAGGACCTGCAGGACTGCATCTTTGATGACATGTTTGCATACGGCAACCTCCCCGATCCCCCAAGGACCAAAGCTCAGATCTCGGCTGGCGTCGCCGCCAATGCCCAAAATGAAAACTGCTTATCTAAGTTGATTTTCATGTCTCAGCCTCGAGGTGTTGATGGTTTCCCAGTTGAGTTCCGCAAAACATGGAAAAAGGTCTGGGGATTCATGTTCGGCCGCCACATCTTTACAGAGGATGAATATGTCAGCTACATCGGTCGTCGTGGCGCATTCCGTGGCCTGTTGACCTGGAAGGGCACTGTCCAAGTTCCTTTTGATGGCACTCTTGAATTCCTCGAAAAGGTGTATGAGGAAAACCTTCCATTGGTTCGGGGCAACCTTGAACGCAAAGAGAAGCAGAGCGCCGCTGCAAAGGCTGGAGGTCCTGGAGGTCATAAGGCCGACCCCACGGTCGCGCCCACCACAGAGCGAAAACGCAAAGCCGAAGCTGATGCATCCGTCACTACACATGATGACACAGCCGCCTCAAGCTCTGCTCGCGCAGACGCCTCGCACGCTGATGCCCCAGTTGATCCCAACAATGCACCATTTCTTGCACCCGAACCACCAACATCCAAAGCAGGAGCACGACCATTCTTGGAGCCTGAGACGCCGCCTACTGCAAAAGCAGCAAGCACAACCACATCGAAGGCTGCAAGCTCCGGTCGCCCGGATGCCTCCTGGAGTTGGAATCGTGATCACTATGGTGCACGCCGAGAATGGAGTTTCTGGCGTGGGGCTTGGTATTACCGTGACGAGGCCGGCGGCCGTTGGATCTATTGGAACCGCAGGTAGACGATGATTTTCTTTTGTAGCATAGCGCAAGACGTGGCATGGTAATGTGCCTTCCTTGCATAGCTGCGCTGGGTTTTACGGGCTTGAGCTTTTTATAGGGACCTTTGAAAGACTGCATAAAAATGATCAAAACCAACTAAAGAAATTTGGCTACCCGCGAGGGTATGCTCTTCTGGGTTATTCGTTCTCCGCAGTCGTCCCTGCTCGCCCGAGGGGGGTGTAAAAACTCCTGCAGTAAAACCATGTATCATATAGGTCATCGTACTATCCTGTAGCGTTGGTTCAAAAGAGCTGAGTGCTTACCGGTTTGTTGTTGCCCCACTAGTTATTGTAACCTATTGGTGGCTGACCTGGTAAAATACAGAACTCCTTATTTGTGTTTCGACATGACATGTTTAGCAGATTTTAGCAGTATGTTTCTGACATTTGCTTGGAATCGTCTTTGTTGTGAAATGCAGCAACAGTAACAATTTGTTAAATCTAATCATTTTATATAATTATATAACAAATGGAAACTGTAAAGCCAATAATAAACAATCCCCAAAATCACAATTTTGATGGCTGGTTTGTAACCATACCCGGCCATGGTCGTTGTTTGTGGCAGCCAGGGTTGCCAACATTAACCTAATATCACCTACATTGGGTTCCCGGTCCAGTTTGCAGCGGAAAAGATTGGTAACTGGTACCTGAAAAAAAATATGAGGAAAACATCAGATCCAGTAGTTTATCATAGTTTATCATCATTTTATCCATTCACATATTCAAAAGTGTGGGTATATCATGGTATACCCGATTTTGGACATACCCATATTGAATACCCCAATATGGGAACCCAAAAGAATACTTCCAATACAGAAGAAGGGTTTGGCCACATTAGCAGGATGAGACTACATGCTAAAACTGGCAACTGAAGCTTTTGGAAATTCACCAAGAGGCCGAAGACAAAATATCGCTGCTTCCAAGTGAGAGATCCGCCTGACCTATTTACTCATATAAGACTCATATATATATATATGTAAATATATATGTATATATATATACATATATATGTATACATATTGTATGTATATATGATATGATATATATATATATGTTCTCTACTTTTGCGTGAGTTTTGGAGTGCAACTCATCCCAAAAGTGGTAACAGAGATTTCCCCACCATAGCTTGGATCTGAGGTTCGTCAAAGCGTGTGCCTGGAGTCAAGGCGTGGGCCGAAACCGACATGGTTCGATGGGAAGCGCGCCCCCGTTTGTTGGTCTCCAAGTATGAGAACTATATCTGTCTAACTGATTGATATTGGATAGTCTGTATACTATACTGTACTCGTTTTTGTTGTAAGGTACAATGTACACAATATGTACATTATATATATATATGTATACTGTATACTATATATATACATAATATAAATACACTTAGATGGAGGGTTAAATGCAACTTACCCTGTGGTACTCTACAACATAGCTGGGCCCAGGACGCGCATCCTAACGGAGGCCGGGTACCCAGCAGACACCTCTTTTCGGCCTCCCGAGGATAGCTCAGTTGTTGGCTTATTGGCGTGTAGCTTGATTTAATGGTTGACTATGATTATGGTAAATATATGTAAATATCATATAGTATGAATGACTTTAATGTATTTTACACACCAACTTGCATAGCCGCGTGGGCAGCAGCTTGTATCCGGAAACCCACGGATTTATCATCATAGATGTCATATGCCTCATGCCATATATGCCCCCAAAAAGTTGTGTGTACCGGGTACCGTTTTTCTTTTTAAAGCTCAGGGATTTCTGGGCCAATTGGTTGATGTTGGCACTTGTACCTACACCACACTCTTCATTTGCTCAATCTCGCCTGAAGTCAAAGCATGAAAGTGGAATGGTTACCTCCTAGAAGACCCGCGGGAGTTTCCATTCTGTCTGAAAATTGGGTATACCTTCTTCATGGCATTAATATATTAATGGGGAAATGATTATCTTCATCTATTGGGTTTTGGGGCACCCTATCTTCTGACAACTTTATGTCTGGTTGTTTCACGACAGAGTATTTGCCATAAAACTTGTGTATATGAATACAGGGAGCATGACGTAAGGGTTTTCATTTTTTGAGGCATCATGATCGTTGTTCACCATCAAAGTATAGCAAACTCCTGTAAGTTTGATGGTTCGGCCAACTAGTCAATGCCCATTCAGGTCATAAACATGCAATCTGAAACAAAGCGATTGAGTAGGCACGTCTAGGAGAAGTTGCATCACCGAGGTTTAAAAACGGTTCCTACATGCGAAGCTACTCACTTATTCAGACTTATTCCATAGGATCAACTTGGCAGAATCCCAGTGCTCCAGTGCTCGGTATACCCCACAACATACCAACTCTCAGTGCCTGGTAGTTCACCGAATGGCAAGTGGGTTAGTTCACCCCAGTTGCAGGGAGAGTAGGGGCAATGTCCACTGATTATGAGGGTGAACCACCAAGTAAGAATTTGATAAATTATTGGGATAATGTATAACTACATATAATTTAATTGTATATACATAATGTAACTAATATAGTATAATATGTACATATATATAATGTTTATTGGAATGTTCCCCATACATGGATTGAACATATGGGTGAATAATGTGTGGATCATCCACAAGATCATCGCCGAGGCCGAGTTGGAAAAGGTCAAGTGGGACGCCCAAAATCGGCGCGCCAAATCGGTCGAGGGAAGGGCGGCATATGGTGCCTGCGAGGTGGTGATCCATAGTTGGCGAAGTTGGTGTCTAAACTTCTTATGGTTATATATATATGTATAGATATATGGATATACCATGATATACCTATGATACAGATCCAATTTGAGCCAGTATGATATGTTACCCATCAGTTTTCATGAAGTTGGCGGGGCACCACCTTGGGAAAAGCCCCAGAAAGATTTTCTCACAGCTATCGACACGAATATTGACCCATATAATCATATATCATCTATACCCATCACCAGTTTACATCATTTTACAGACTTTTTACTTTATGTTCGAACATGCTTTTCACTGTGAGATACTGTGTGATACTCTAAAATAGAATACAATACTTGGTTATCTATATATCATTTATGGGCCCAGGGTTACTCATCAGCAGGGCGACTCATCACATCATAGCTGAAATTCAACAAACATGTTTTTTCATTCTCTATTGTTGCATTCCATTAAAAAAGAACTGTTTCCATACCAAAACATTAAACACATTCCTTTTCATTATCTTCCATTGCAGTCTTACGACTCTCTATACCATTGCCGTCTCTTGAGAACAATGCCTAATGCCACAACATATCCATTTTCACTCCAGTCCAGGGTATATTTGTGGCATTCTATTGAAACAACAACCATACATTTGGGAAAACCAGCAAATTTATATTCCAGATTCTTGAGCTGCAAGCACCATTCCCAACCATTTTTCACATTCGTTCAAAGCTGCCCAGATTAAAGATGAATGATTTTGGAGGAAATTTGAATGCCTCTATCAAGGCTCATGAGTACCCCCTCCCATGAGGTCCCCTCTCTCCTTGCAATATGCCCAGAACATCCCAAAAAACATGCCTTGAAGCAAGAGAGCAATGAATTGCAGGATCACCACTGAAACCGGATACCCACCACTGATGGACCAAGCCCAGTTCACCGGGACAGATTGACAGCAGAACAGTGAACTCGGTAAGGCCATTAATGTTTGAACCGGTAAACAAGTTTTGGGGTGAACACCTCGTAGTAGATTTTTTTTTGGTACGGTTTTGCCCAAGGATCCCAAGGGAGTTTGAAGTTGTGTGAACGGCAGAAATATTGGCTTGTGCTGAAAAACCGCTTGAGACCCCCTGGACCAAAGATCTTCACATTATGGGTTTGCGTTGAACATATCGTAAGCGGGTAACCCATGATATCCTACGATTTTATATATACAATGTTGTGTTGACTTTCCCCACAAAAGATGGTATGCTGGTTGGTGTTACTTTCATTGGTAGACACAGGTTGATGATCGCCAAGGACTTTCCTATTTTTCAAAGATATTTCACTAATTTCACCAATATGAACAGAACAATGGGATGAATCATGGTCAGATCATAAAAAAAGAACCCCTTCCCCTAATATGGAACAACCCCTCAGAAGCCATGGTGATATGATTCTTATATGGTTATATATATAGTGGTTATATGATAGTTATATGATGGTTATATGATGGTTATATAATGGATTGTTTCGTAGGCCCGGGGTGTTTTTTCATGTTAGGATGGACCAACAAAAAACCGTCGCTGTTGGAAAAAGACGGGGTGAGACGCATCGCCAGGGAGGATTTAGATGGCTCGGAGGCCTATCTCAGAATCATTGAGGAGGCGCCGCTGGGGATCCGGGATCCGAGGATCCGAAAAGAAAGAAAACCCGGTTGAGTAACCTGGTTTAGAAACCATGATAACCATGATAAGTACAAAAATATGTAAGCATGTTGTATCCTTTACTTGTCTAAATCCACATAAATTATGTGGTTTTATCATGGTTTATGAGGGTTTAACTATAGATACTTGTATGTGGATGTACTTGACAATTGGGCTATGAACTAGGGAGTTATATATGTATACTACTGGGGTTATTGGGGATTATGAACCAACCCATAGTAAGGAAACCTATGAACCAATGGCTCATGTGGTGCCCAATAGTTCATGGTTGATAACTCCAATCACTAGGGTTCATGGGTGTGGTAGATATATCTATGGTATTCTGGGTGCTATAAACCAACTCCTAGCTGGGAGGCACCTCATTATTCTGTTGGTTGATGATCATCCATGAACTGGGAATCCTGTTCTTGGATTTGAACACTGCTCATTTAAGTCAGGCGAAACCCTAGTTTGATACATAGGAGATTCATCCACATTCTGTTTGCTGGGTCAAACTTGGTGAATGGACGGTCAGGGGTATGTGGCCTGTGGCATCATGTTGCATGATTTTACCATGTGGGTAAAACAATGTCATAAACCATTCCGAGTCATGGGTGGTTTATGACATTGTTTTACCCACATTAATAGATTCTAGATTTCTTATACCCAACAGAGGCAGATCCCCAAACTCCAAACTGCTTCAATCGAGGCGAGGCAATGCAGCGGCCACGGTGCTTCAGCAGGTTCGACGAGCGACATGGTGATGCTGGAGACAATTGATTGTACATTGGGTAAGATAGATCAAGAAACACAACTGGGCGAGAACATCCCCAACATGTTTCTCATATTTATCCGGAAGCTGATATTTAATTGCCTTCGGCAAGCCCGCCAGCCATAAGCTTCTGTGTGTAAAAGCTTCTGTGTGTAATAGCTTCTGTGTGCAAAAGGTTCTGTGTGTAAAAGCTTCTGTGAGTAAAAGCTTCTGTGTGCAAAAAGGTTCTGTGTGTAAAAGCTTCTGTGAGTAAAAGCTTCTGTGTGCAAAATAGGTCTGTGTGTAAAAGCTTCTGTGTGTAAAAGCTTCTGTGAGTAAAAGCTTCTGTGTGTAAAAGCTTCTGTGTGCAAAAGGTTTTGTGTGTAAAAGCTTCTGTGTGTAAAAGCTTCTGTGTGCAAAAGCCTCTGTGTGTAAAAGCTTCTGTGTGTAAAAAGCGTCTGTGTGCAAAAGCGTCTGTGTGCAAAAGCGTCTGTGTGTAAAAGGTTCTGTGTGTAAAAAGGTTCTGTGTGTAAAAGGTTCTGTGTGTATAAAAGGTTCTGTGTGTAAAAGTGTCTGTGAGTAAAAGCTTTTGAGTGTAAAAGCTTCTGTGTGCAAAAGGTTCTGTGTGTAAAAGCTTCTGTGTGTAAAAGCTTCTGCGTGTAAAAGCTTTTGTGTGTAAAAGCTTTTTTGTGTACAAGCTTCTGTGTGTAAAAGCTTCTGTGTGTAAAAAACCAAAAATCCTTCACCCAGCCTCTGTGTGTAAAAGCTTCTGTATGTGAAAGCTTCTGTGTGTAAAAGCGCCTGTGTGTAAAAGCGCCTGTGTGTAAAAGTGTCAGTGTGTAAAAGCTTTTGTGATGTGCAAAAGCTTCCGTGTGTAAAAGCTACTCCTACTCCTACTACTACTACTACTACTACAACTACTACTACTAGTACTAGCACTAGTACTAGGACATGTACTAGTACATGTACTAGTACATGTACTAGTACATGTGGTGGGAGGGGGGTGACTTTGATTCAGACGAAGCAAAAACGCTCGGCAAGAGAACAAAGGAACAAGTACAAGCCAAGAACAGAAACAAGTACAAACCAAGAACAGAAACAAGAACAACACCTTCCAATCAGACACGCCGGCAGGCCGGCGGATTTCTTTTTTGGTTGAATCTTGCGGCATGGGTTTGGCCAATCAATTTCAATTTGCGGGTAAGAGATAGTAAAACGGGCTGGTGTGTTGCTTGAAACTATCTATATAAATAGTTTACTATCTTAAAACAATGTTACTAATACTATGTTAAAACATTGTTGAAACGGATTGGCCATATAAACATAGTTTAAAACAACGTTACTATGCTTAGCTTTAAACTATGTTTATATGGCCAATCTGTTTCCTTTTTGATGGCCTAAACCATCTAAATCAGTTGAGGGTCTTTATGCCGATGGGATCCCGCCTGTCCAAAGAGAGGCAGTTTTCCCGAGGAGTTTGGGCCTGAGAATGTGAAAATGGATGAAAATGGGGGTATACCTGCCCAAATGACAATTCTACTGTAATGGGAAAACCATGACATTCGGATTTTGGGATACCTTTTTCTCAGACTAACGTAAAAAATCGCAAATTTGCATAACTGCTCTATGCGTATATGATGTATGGATATGTATAGAGTATTCATTTCTGTCATCTTAACTTATTTTATGTACAGCCTCCAGAGGATGAAAAAAAACGCCGAGCCTGGATTGCTCAGGTGGGACGCTCAACTGTTGGTGGACTGTGGGATGACGGCTGTAGGGCACCCAGTCGCACTGTTGGATCATGTTGAATCATGGAATGGCCGCAATGGCCAGGGAAATATCTCAAGCAGACTTGATTTCGGCTTGGTGAAACATCATAATTCAACCGGATCTGTGATTTGGGATAGTTTGGACCGATCCTTTCCCTCGAAATCTGGCACTGAGAAGTTCCTAATTTCAAGAGGCAGATGATAGAACTGGTGGTTTTTTCAGCCTGGGCTCACTGGGCCAAACTTTTGAACCGACCTTGAAGGGCCATGGCGGCCATGGGACTATCTAACGGTATTTGGACTACAACCCGCTTTTTTAAACCAGGATGGTCAGCGGCTGGTTCTCTTCACGCCCGGTTTTCTACAGTCGGGATCTCAGTCTTGGGACTTCACCAGACACTGATCGTTTCTAGTAATAAACCCCCTCATTTCGATGTGCTGAACACTAAAAAACTTGATACCCCACACCCAAATAAATATGGATGTTGCGCTGTGTCGGAATGTAACACCTGAAATGGACGTACAACATGTTTATATGTTTACACTTTCTGCGGTTCTTTTGATGAACATATACTAACATCAAACTCTCAACTTCGCTGAGGTGTGACCGAGTCCTGGCGCTTACTGTAGGGATCAAATATATAAACCATGGTCTATTAATTAGGGTGGTACTTCTCCAATAGTAATCTGGTACTTAAATGGTATCCACCCAAATTAAGCCCAGGGGTATTAATCCGGATTTGTCGCTATGTCCTGAAATCCATAGATTTGACCAATGATGCCATTGGCTCATTGGTTCACCAGGCCTATTCTGGATGATGACGACGAGCTGGACCGAGCCTTTCGCTTCATACTACTGCCCATGCCTCAGGGATCCTCAGGGCCTGGAAAACGATGGAAATCCAGCAGCACTGCGGGCTGAACTACCCAAAGATGGCATACATGGAACAGGCCTATGCTTGAGGCAAATGCTACAGGAAATGCTGCAGTTTTCTTTGGAGCCCAGTTCAATGTGCTAACCATCAGAGTAGTTCTGTGGGTCGCATGTATACCCCAAAACTGGAATGAGTGGGGAAAACGATGCTAAACCATGGGACTTTAGGGCTGCGGTACCTGATTTTCAGATTTTTCAGTCAGAAATCCAACCTCACCTCTTTTTTTGCGAAGGGATGTAACTTTTTGAGCGCTGCAGGAACATGCACAACATTGCCATGCAGAACAAGTTTATCTTCGTTTATTGCTGCCTTGGCATGGTGATGGACTCAGCAACACCGTTGAAAGCGCTTAGGATCCCGCCTCAGAAAAATAATGGGACACCCCCCGGAACAACAACAACAACAACAACAACAACAACAACAACAACAACAACAACAACAACAACAACAACAACAACAACAACAACAACAACAACAACAACCGCCACCACCACCACCACCACCAACAACAACAACAGCAACAGCAACAGCAGCAACAACAACAACAACCACCAACAACAACAACAACAACCACCAACAACAACAACAACAACACAAACACCAACACCAACACCAACAGCAGCAACAACAACAACAACAACTCAAATCAGGTGTGGAGATGTGTGGAGATGATTTTTTGGTTGGACTAATCTTGGGTACCGTGTAGATTCGAGATGTTTATGTTGTTTCTTTTCTGCGAGCCACATCAGCACACAGCCTAGAAACCTCAACAGGATTGGTCCACACCAATGCTGGGAGAGAGACTGCAAATCGCCTTTGACATTTTGCGGGGAGCCCTAGCAGTGGAATGGGGTAAACCAACTCATGAGTTGGATAGTTGGATGGATGAATTCTACAGCCCTTTTTTGGGAGGATCAACTCCCAAAAGTTGCTGATCAGGGAACGCTCATAATGTGCGATGTCGTTTTTGCCAAATACATCCAAATACTGCTTTTACCTGTAAGGACCCCAAAAAAAACATGGGCAAACAAATAATAGGCATTGCAGGCCTACGTGTAGCAAAACCTTAATTCTTCAATATTTTGTTGAAGAGAGATGGGTAGAGAACCCATAGGAACACTCAAACAGGTGGCTCCAGAGGATCAAAGCCATTGTGACTCATGGCCACAAAAATGCGATATTATGGCTGATTGAAAATAAACATGGGATATCATGGGAATATGCCTTTCCAGGTATTTTTCTACCCAGCGTAAGTCATCACCAGTTTTTTCCTACAGGGTATCCACAGTGCCATGGCTGTGCTGTATACATCTGGCTGCTGAGGCCGAAAAAGTATACCAAAAATCTGAAGCGTCTGAAACTCAAAGGGCGACTGAAACTGGCATATCCACCTTGTCGAGCCACATATCTCATGATGTCCTGTTTTTTTTAATTTAACGGGCTATGAAACCAATCATCACTAGTCTGCAATGTCAAAACATGCCAGTTCTTTGACATGATAATTATGATGTAGTGTATGGCACATTATGGCACTATATACAGTACGGTGGCACTCAGTGATATGTGTAAGGAAGGGATCGTCCCCACTGTCGGGGACTACTGCATGATGACCAACTTTTTGGTCCTCTACCACATTTTTGCTCATCTCAGAATTTCATGGGTATACATGATATATATATATATGTATATATATACATGTGTCCATATGTTTCCAAGAACGCATGATTCCAAAAGGGACAAATGGCTCCTACAATTCTTAGCATCATCAATTTTATTTTCCAACGATTCACAGGGCTCATGGCAGAGTTTGTTTATCTTCTAAATGGTCTTTGTTTTTTGTGCAGTTTGGCAGTTTGGAGTTTGAGTCTGCCCAAGTTGCAGCGATGACCAAATCACACACACAACTCGGCCACGGCCCAAGGATTTTACATTCTACATGGGAACAGTTCGCCGGTCCTGCCTGTTTGTCTTTCATCCTGCGACACAGACTCGTGCCATGTCGAAGCATGTTTTTTCCAAACAAAGAGTACCCCAAATTCGAGAGTTCCAGTGATTTGTTATATATCATTTTTCCCCATTTCTCATGGCCGTTTTAGAGCCAAAACCAGTCTTGATTTCGACCCCATTTTGGCCCTGACAGGACTCGGCTAACCATGTGGTCCTTCTATGCTGAATCCTCAGCTGTGCATTTTTTCCACCACAGTTCACCTGAAGAATCAGACGTGGTTGTCCCAACAAAACCATTAAAACATATGGCACATTTATGATTTATGTGCATAAATTGGAATATAGCACATGTGGAATATAGCAAAGATTGGAATATAGCACATGTTCCTTTTTTCTGTTTGATTCCCAGTCTTTGATTGTATTCACAGATGATTGTATTTTCCCAAACAAATCTCAGACTCATCGATGATTTTCCTCCTGACGTTTTGTAATTCAGCTAATGTGGTAAACTCAATGCCATAAACCTATCATGATGGATGGTTTGTACACCCCATTTATGATGACATTGGGGATGGTTTACTTGGTTTACCACATTGTATGTTTCATTTTTGCGAGCGAATTTCTAGGGTTTTTCTCAAAGTAAGGCGTGGCTCACCCCGCAGTTCTGGGAGAAGATCCAATATGTCAACAGCATTGAGAAGATTTGTGAGGCAGCGGCGAGTGATTATCATTTGGGTGGAGGTTTCCTAAGCCATAGGAGTACCCCCAAGCATCATCCAGTTCAGAACACCTTTTACAAGTCAATATTTCAGAACGCCTATCAACACCTACCCCACTGTCTCCCTGGACCAAAACTGGTTTCTTGGGAACTGCAGGACCTTTTTCCAGATGATGATGCAGCACAAGCTGAGCTGCATCGGCGATTTCCACAGGCCGCAGATGCTGTTGGTGGATGCTCCCCCAATTCTGAACCCTATTGTTCCTGCAGTTGCTACTTCTTGGGTTTTCAGCCAAAAAATTGAGCAACAACGGTATCCAGGTAGGATACAGTGTACATATAAAACAAATAAATCAATAAATACATAAATAAATATATATATACACATAAACATTATAAATTATAATGTATTACAATGTTTTAGATACATACATGTATGCATGTATATCGTGTATAAAAATACATATACATTTTATGTTATGTATTGTTTAATATCATCAATATCATATATATACACTGTATTATGTATGTTAGAAGTTCTATATGTATGGGTAATACAATATATATATGATATATCTATACATCTACATTATATTACGGTACATTATAATTTGTTATTATAACTATATTAATATTTCCAAAATATTTATAGTGTTTTAACATGAACTATAAAATATAAGGGAAACATAACATAACACAATATTTTTTTAAAAAATATAATATAGTACCATGTCAAATAGTACATAATAAAGCTTAACATAACATAACGTACCATTCCATAATACAATACAATTCAATACAATATAAATACCATGTAATGTAATGTGATCTAGTGTGATGTAATATCATGTTCTACTATTTTATGGTTTTTTGTTAATGTGATTTAAGATTTAATCTAATATGTAATTTAAAAATCGTTGATATAATAAAACAATTTACAATATACTAATATGTGGATTATAATTATGATCCTTCCAAAAAGAATGGTGATCTTCACTGGGGGGAGATATCTTTGACTTGGTTGAAGCCTTTGTTCTCCACCTGTGGGATGTTTGTTTGCTGGTTTTACACACAGCTAGTGGTGATATATATATATATGTATATATATATTATACATATATATATATATTTTTTTTATTATATGATTGATATGGTTAATTATAGTTGTTGTATGGTTAATCAGTGTTTTCACCAGATAATCACATTCATATGTAATTGACTATGCTATGCTATGTATGTATGTATGTATGTAATGTATGTAATGTATGTATGTATGTAATGTAATGTAATGTAAAGTAATGTATGTAATGTATATATGTAATGTATGTATGTATGTATGTATGCATGTATGCATGGATGTATGTATGTATGTATGTATGTATGTATGTATGTATGTATGTATGTATGTTATGTATGTAATGTATGTATGTAATGTATGTAATGTAATGTAATGTAATGTAATGTAATGTAATGTAATGTAATGTATGTATGTTATGTATGTTATGTATGTTATGTATGTTATGTATGTTATGTATGTATGTATGTATGTAATGTAATGTAATGTAATGTAATGTAATGTAATGTAATGTAATGTAATGTAATGTAAGTAATGTATGTATGTATGTATGTATGTATGTATGTATGTATGTATGTATGTATGTATGTATGTATATGTATGTATGTATGTATGTATGTATGTATGTATGTAATGTATGTAATGTATGTAATGTATGTAATGTATGTAATGTATGTAATGTATGTAATGTATGTAATGTATGTAATGTATGTAATGTATGTAATGTATGTAATGTATGTAATGTATGTAATGTATGTAATGTAGTAATGTATGTAATGTATGTAATGTATGTAATGTATGTAATGTATGTAATGTATGTAATGTATGTAATGTATGTAATGTATGTAATGTATGTATGTATGTATGTATGTATGTAATGTATGTAATGTATGTAATGTATGTAATGTATGTAATGATGTAATGTATGTAATGTATGTAATGTATGTAGTGTATGTAATGTATGTATGTATGTATGTAATGTATGAGTATGTATGTATGTATGTAGTATTGTAGTATGTAGTATGTATCTGTATGTAGTATGTATGTATGTATGTATGTATGTATGTATGTAATGTATTAATGTAAGTCAGAATGTCATGTAATGTCATGTAATGTAATAATGTAATGTATTGTAAGTATTGTATGTATTGTAAGGTATTGTAATGTATTGTAATGTATGGTAATGTATTGTAATGGATTGTAATGTATTAATGTATTGTAATGTATTGTAATGTATTGTAAGTATTGGTTGTATGTATGTATGTTGTTATGTATGTTATGTATGTAATGTATGTAATGTATGTAAGTAGTAATGTAGTAATGTAATGTAAGTATGTATGTAAATGTAACTGTAATGTAATGTAATGTAATGTAATGTAATGTAATGTAATGTAATGTAATGTAATGTAATGTAATGTAATGTAATGTAATGTATGTATGTATGTATGTATGTAATGTATCTAATGTATCTAATGTATGTAATGTATGTAATGTATGTAATGTATGTATGTATGTATGTATGTATGTATGTATTGTGAAATCAACACTGCCGATTCGCAATGCACATCATCTTCATTTCACTTGAGATCCAAAGAGTAAGGGTTACAGCTTATCATTCTCTTGCAGCTGGGTGGCTCTGTGAGCCCGTAGTGGAGGGTGAGGATAGCTTGTGCCTGGTTCCTTACCTTCGGTGCTTGGTAAGGCGTTACGATCGTGGCCGATTGGACGTTGTGCAATCAACTGGAGGAAAAGAACAACATAGCGCTGCCGTGCAGCTTGGGAAGGGTGTCAGGGACACCATTCAGGTGTTTCAGGGTCCGTTACCAGTTCTAAACTGGTAGCGGAGCCCGGCGACATGTCAGGGACCGCTAGTGAAGCAGCCAGCGACGCTGGGCAGGTGCCAAACCAGTTGGCAATCCTTGTGCCAACTTTCGACCCGTCGGTCGACAATGTGGAGATATGGACCAACAAGGTGGAACTGCTTTTACTGACGTGGCCATCCAACAAGATCTTAGAGCTAGCAACACGCTTAGTCCTGGGGTGCAAAGGAACAGCCTTTCAGAAATTGCAGTTACATAGGAGTGAAGTCCTAGTCAATGACGCCAAGGGAATTCAAAAGATCGTCGAATTAGTCGGCGGCAAATGGGGTGCAGTGCCGTTGGAGAAGAAGTTTGACATAGTGGAGAAGGCACTGTATCGTGGATCACAGAAGTCTGATGAATCTAGCGACCCATATCTGTCTCGAAATGATGTGATTTGGACTGAATTGATTAGCAAAAAGGTTGACTTATCCGAGATCCAAGCCTATATCCTCCTTCGTGGAAGCCGCTTGAGCAGCGATGACAAGAAGCGTGTCCTCGTAGATTCAGGTGCAGAAAAGGGGGGTACATTGAATGTCAAGAATGTGGAAGCCGCAGTGAGAATAATCGGTTCAGGGTTCTTCCAAGACATGATTGGAAACAAACGTGACAAGGGTCTCAAGACATATGACCATACAGCTTTCACCATGGAGGACACCAATGAGAACAACTGGGAGACCGATGGTGAGGTCTTCTGGACAGAGGAAGCTTCTTTAGATGAAGGCACCTTAGAAGCGATGGCCGCCGATGATGATGAAGATGCAGCACTAGTACTACAGTTTGAAGATGCAGTATCAGAGATGGTTCAGAACGATACTGAGCTGTGTGCATACTATTCATCATACCAAGATGCCAGAAAACGTTTGTCGGAAAAGGTCAGGTTTCGAGGCTTCTGGAGTGTGAAAAAGGGCGAGAAGGGTTTTGGAAAGAAAGGAAAAGTGAAAGGAAAAGGGAAGTCGTCCCTTGCCAATCGGATCGCCAATTCATACTGCAGACTGTGCCTCAAGAAGGGGCATTGGAAGAATGAGTGTCCATCACGAGGCCAAGGTGGTGGATCAGTGTCAGCCGCCTCAACCGTGCCGACATCGTTTGTGACCGCAGTGGAAGTGTCTCCAGAGATCGTGTCCTTGCCAGTGATCGAGGACCATGATGCATCAAAACACATGGTAGATTGTTTTGTTTCTCAGGTTCACCAGGTGTTTGGTCATATTCTAGGAAAGAAGCAACTCATGTCACGTCATGCCACCAGGAAGATGCCGCGTTCTAGCCCTGTGACAAGCCAAGTGCCCAGTGTGAGCGAAGCTTTAGCCGGGTTGCATGTGCGGAGACAACAAGTCTCTGAGCCCAATCCTTTGGTCAGCCTGGACCACTGCCCCAGCCTGTTCGCATCCGTTGGATCCGTAGGAGTGGTAGACTTAGGAGCTTCACAAACAGTAATTGGCAGCCAACAGGTACCAGAACTACTTGCTCAATTGCCAGACGAAGTCCGACAGGGTGTGAAGCGAAAGCCGTGCCATTTGATTTTTCGATTTGGAAATCATCAAACGCTCGTCAGTAGGCAAGCCCTTTTGATGCCTCTGGGATCTCAATATTTCCAGATAGCAATTGTGGATGGTCGAACACCTTTTTTGATTTCCAGCACTTTTCTCAAAGGGATTCAGGCTGTGATTGACACTGATACTGATGTTTTGTGGAGTAAGAAACTGAACAGAGAACTGAAGATAACTCGAACAGCGAAAAACTTACTTCTCATGGATATCAATCAGTTGTGGGAGAGCCCGGAGAATTCCGCACAGTTCAGTCTGATGGCTGAAGAACCAACATGCCTGCAGTCCGATGCCTTGAAAACTTGTGACAGCCGTCACCATGCCGAAGCCAGCCATGTAGGAAGTCAACAGGCGACAGGTATCAGGTCCAATGTCAATCATGAAGAACCAGGTCATGTGAACATGTCACACCATGAACCACATGACGCAGGAGATTCTGAGGCACTCATGTCCCGTTGTCGGAAAGAATCAAAAGATAGTCTCAGTGAGATTCCCGGTTCAAGCTCAACAGACGCTCCTGTCTCAACTTGCCGTGACAGCAGATCCCGTCATGCCGAAGTCGCTGACCGAGAAACTGCAGGCCCGTCGAACCAAGACAGAGATCGATCAGACAGCAGACCAGCTCGAGGAAATCAAGAAGATGTCCCTTCCCCAGCTGGAAAAGGAAACAATCCAATTTGGAAAGGCCAAATTGGGCCAGAAGTTCACGGAGGCATACTCCGACCACAAGTGG